AGCCGCGCGTCCTGGCGCGGCACGTGGCTGCGGAAGATGTCCTGCGCCAGCTGGGCCACCAGGTGCTTGCCGTAGACGTCGCGCAGCTCCTCGGGCTGCTGGGAGAGGTTCCGCAGGATGTCGTCCAGGCGCCGCTGCTCCGTCACGAGCGTGGAGGGCCGCGGCGGCGGGCCCGGCTCGGCGTTCTGCTCCTCCTCGGACGACGCGTTCCTCTCGGTGGAGTCCTGCGCCTCCCACGAGGCCAGCAGCTCCCCGGGCCAGCCCCCCTGCTCCAGCAGCCGAGACACCAGGTCATCGTAGCGGCTCCCGGGGTCCGCCGCGAGCCCCCGCTTCTCGGCCTTGCTGCCGTTCGCGAAGATGCCGTTCTGGTGTTTGTGCGTCTGCAGGGCCTCCTTGGGGTGCGCCTTCCTCCCCCGCGGGGCCTCCTCCTCGCCGCGGAGGCTCGCGGGCCGCGCCGCGAGCTTCTGGTTGCCGCCGAGGAGCTTGATCACGAACCGCTCCCGCGCCGGCCCCGCGGAGCAGGTGTAGGCGCCCGCGTCCGACGGCTTGAGGCGGTGGATCTTCAGGTAGCCGAAGGGGGCGACGGTGACGTGCGCCGAGCTGACGAGGTGCTGGCCGTCCTTCTCCCACGTGATGAGCGGCTTCCGGAAGCGCCGCGCGGGGCAGCGCAGCACCACCGTGGTCTTGGGGAGCAGGTAGGCGAACCCGCCCACCACGAAGTGCAGCTTCCTCTGCCTGCGCGTCTGGATGTAGACCTTCCTCGCCGCCTCGATGTGCGGGCTGTGCTTTGCCGACGGCCGGCCGGGCCCTGGAAAGGCGGCCGGACGGGTGGGGAGCGGAGGACAGCGAGAGGGAGGGGCAGCGACGAGAAAGAGGGAGCGAGAGAGGAAGGGGCGGGAGAGGGAAGAGGGGAAGGGGTGCGTGAGTTGGGCCTGGGCCTCCCGGACGGCCGCGTGCCTCCCGGAGGAGCCGGCGGCCAGCTGTGGGCCATCCAGCGGCCGCCACAATCAAAAAAAGCCAGAACACACGAGGTGCCGTGGGGCAGCCTGCTGTCGCCCCGCTGGGTCTTTCTGCCCCTAGAAGCTGAGAGGCAGGGCTTTAGATGGAGGGGGAGCCTTGGGGGAAAAGGCAGTTCCTCTCATTAAAAGGACTTAAAAAAAAAATCAGCACCATAAAAAAGAGGCAGCGGACTAAGGGAAGGAGAATGCCCCCTCCCCCCCC